AAATATGTATATCTCAACTTTTACTGAAACACGTCGGTACTACGACCAGCCCCACACCCAGGTAATCACCATCATTATTCTTGGAATTGATCTGTAAATGAAGTCACTCCATTAAACAGCCATATTTGTATATGGAAAACTTCCCTGAGAAGTAATTCTATGAATTTTCTAAACTGACCAAAATTGGCACATCTCCTAAAAAATCAGCTTTACCTCTTTAAAATGACACTCCAGAGAATTGTGTTTTTCTTTTCCTTTTGGATTTTTCCATTCACATCTCTTCCCTCAGCCAGCCCCTTGCTGCAAATGTTCTGAACACTATCTGGACTCCTCCATATGTTTCTTGTAATCATTGCAAAACTGAATGACAGTAATGCTGCTATGGAAGAAGGAAGCAACTTCTGTGTACAGAGCAGGGGCTTTCCTTCACAGCAACCAAATAATATCAGGTAGTACCTCTATATTTTTATGAAAACATAAGGAAAGGTTAGGGCAATGAATGGGAACATTTAAAAGAGTTTGTCAAAGAGCTATTCTTGAAAATAGAATTAAAATTTCTATTTTTATCATCAGCTCAATTATCGGGCACATAGAAGAGCTTAAAGCAGATGGGTTCTGCTCATAGGCCATACAGAATCAACACTATAGTTAAGTTACAAAGGAACTGTAGGTAGCTGCTGCCAAGTTACGCTTAGCTCAGAGTGGCATGGGTGTAAACCAACACATACCATGGGAGACTAAAATGTTAATATGCTCTTTCAGTCCCCAAAATACCAAATTAAAGTTCCATTTGGTTCCTTGCAGGATAAATAACATGGTATCTAATGACACAGAGATGTCAACAAGATTGAACTGGCTTCATTTAGCATAATAACTAGAGACAACAAAGGTATCTATTAATAAATATATACCTTTATGTGAGGTAGTCACAATCATTCTTACTGAAAATAAAATTGGAGGGCTGCGACATTGATCAAGTAGTTAAGGGTATGGAATGCTCTTCTAGATGACCTAGGTTCTAGTCCTAGCATCCACATGGCAGCTCACACACATCTCTAACTCTAGTTCCAGGGCATCTGATACCCACTGCTGACCCCTACTGGCAACCCCAGGTGTGCAAGTGGTGCACACACACAGGAGTAGGCAAAACAACCATATATGTAAAATAAGAAGATATAACGAATTTTTAGAAAAGAAAATATTCAGTTCATTCAGGAATGAGTGCTTCTCCTTTGTTTTTAGTTATATCTGCAATTCCATTTTCTTCTGGATCTGAGGCACATGGCATCCCAAACATTAACCAACATAGCCACTGTGTTATAATACATGGAGGCCCCTTAAGGTACTGTTTGAAGAATGGAATCTGATCCTCTAATTAAAAAAAAGATAAAGTACTTTATATATGGTTATAAAATTCTGTAAACATAAACAATCATATAAAAGTATATTATATGAAAAATTCTCAATTAAAAGTAAATACAATTTGAACAGAAGAATAATTAGACTTTTACCCAGAATGAAAGCAACTTACAAAAGAGCTAAGTGTTCAGTCAGAGATTGTCAGTGTTGGTCCAAACTGCCTCTTATTGTTCATCATCCCCACAAGACCAAAGTTCTCAAAAATAAACCTATGGCTTTATGTATATTTTTCATATTTAAAAATGGTAGAATAAATAGAGCCATTGGGAGTAATTTCTAATTGATAGTACCAAAAAGGGACAATAATTTTGCACAAGGAAGCCAAGCAAATGAATTCAAATGTACAGATCAAAATACCATCCTGGTCAAAATCTAATTGATACAAATATTAACATTAACAATTTTATCAGTATCTTATACTAATATAATTTCTAATATTTAGTTTTACAACTATATTATGCTTTTATACTTAGGATGACAGAAAGTCAATAAAAATAATTAAGAAGAATGACTTCAACACTCACAGCATATATATAGACTTATATCTGGAGATTTTGGCTATGAGAACTGACATGATGTTGGCACTTAAAATCTGCACATTTCTAAATTATATTTTGACTTAAAGATATTGATACATTTTGTTTTTGTTTCTTTTGCTTGTTTAACATTAGCAGTTTTGTTACACTAACTTGTAACATTTCAGATAATTTGCCTGAATACTCTTTACAAACTACAAAACAGAACAAAAACCCAGACATAATTGAAGAAATTCTTCCCATACTGTCAAATCCTGTAGCCTTCATACTCGTTCACAAAGAAAGCCTTTTAATAATTTTCCCGAGTGCAGGTGTGCAAATTACTCCTGAAATAGACGAATCTAGTTTTCAGCACCCCTGAACCAGTGTTAACCACACCCCACAGCATTTTTCAGCTCATAAACCCTTTATAGCCTGCGAAGTTCCTTCAGATTTTTCAACTGTTAACCACAGTTGCCCTCCAGCAGCAGAACCTACATTGCCATTAACATCCATCTGAGGGTATGATGTAAGCATGCACTGAGTAGCATGTTTTGTTTCACGGTATTTCATAAAAGTCAAGCTTTATATCACTCTCCGAGTGCAGAAAAAAATATAAATGCCTTGGTTTGGTGTAGCTTGGGTGGCATTTTTTACTTACTTGGATACACAGTATATGTGAAGGTCAATTTCACTCAGGTGAATAGGTTTATACAATGGCACATATGTGCTGAGGGTTTTCCACTCTGGAAATATAAAAATGTTGGCTTTCCAGGCTTCCCTCATTAACACACCTACCTTAGAATTTAACTGAACACCTGGGTGAGGGTTTTCAAGAGCAGAGTTCAATATTGGGAAAATTAAATTATTGTTAGAAAACTAGCAAAGTTTGTGAACTGAGTAGTTGGGTCTAAGTAAATCTCACTGCCTTCTGAAAATAAAAACCATGCTGTTTTATCTTAGGAAAGAAAGCCTAGAACACATCAAAAGAGATGGTAGATAGCCTGCCCCAATGTTCCATGCCCCATCCCAACATGTGCATACTGTAATTCTCCTGCCTGATGGAAATGGCCAAATAGTTCACAATTTACTCAAAATATGCTGTCAGCACAGCCCTAGATTTTAGAAGTGGAAGAAAGAAAACATCTATGCATGTCCAGCTGGAATGGAGACTACCAGGTCCATATAAAGGCCTACCTCTTCATAAACTGTCACATTGTTAGACTAAGAAGCCCCTCCACTTGAACTGCCATTTATAAAGTTAGTGTTTTTGTTTTTCCCCTAAGGACTGCCATCTTTTGGAGGTGGGGTGGGGCTTGGGTTGAGTTTCAGCCCTTTTTCCATTTTGTATTTTGAATGTGCTAACCTGTAGGTACAATTTCCCAGTGAGAAGAGTTGGGAGCCACTGTATAGTTCTGGTTTTGTATTGTTTAATACAATTTCATACTGTCATACTATTTGATACAACTTTGCATGTCATGACCAACAGAGCAAGATAAACTGAGAAGATAGGCACTTAATCGGTATGGACTTTTGACTTCCTGAAATCAAAGGTTGACACCAACTTTCTCCCACCTCTATTTTCCCCAGATCCCATGACTACAGTTTTTTGTTCCTTTTAATCCTACTAACAGCAATCCTAACTCCTACTTCTTGGTAGCATTTCTGTTTTCAACTCCAGTTTTGAGACATGTAGAAGTAATGTAGAACACAGGAAATCATTCATGGTTTGCAAAATACTGTACCAGTAACAAAAGAAAAAAAAAGCATGTTTCATTCCTGGCCTCTAACAAGCTATGCTGGGAAGAGAGGAATTCAGTAATGTAGGGCTGTGTAAACTATTATTTATGCCATGCAAATGTTTTCACACCAAGAAAATCCTGAAGAAGAAACAATGGAAGCCATGACATTTCTATCTACAGCACTGGATACCAACTAATTCGATGGTTCAGATACCTGTTCATTTTCACCAGGTGTATTCCTGATCACCCTAATGAAATTGCCATCTTTCTTCTGAGTGACACCCAGCAGGGCGTTATCCCCATATCAAGAAAGGAACTAATAAACAGGCACCCTTCCCATATGGCTTCTCTGAGCCAGGCTACAGAAAAGTGAACATTTACTCATCTAACTCTCATATTTAAATTTAAACCAGATAATTGAGAAACCAGTAGACTTAAGCTCTAAATTCAAATAACACCAGCAAACATGAAATACTCCATTAGTCAGTATGTGCTATGTAGTCTCAACTCAACTTTTCAAATTTAACTTGATGATATACCCACACTTCTAGGTGAGAACAAGACATGTTTGATCATGACAACTGCAAGTATCAGCCAATGCAAACACACATCTTTTAGAGGAGACAATGAAATTACAATACAAACACGATGGCCTGTGTTTTAGGAAGTAAAAGTAATGTTTACAAATCTACCTCCTAAAATTAGGCTTGTTAATGATTCCAAGCAGTTCTTGGAACTTAGCTAGATTGTGTTGGTTCCAAACAGTTTAAGCTGCATTTTAAAAAATATACAATAAGAACAGTCAACATCTTAAAAATGTTAAATTTGAATTAAAATAGACCTATTACCCATTCCACAACTTATGTGATAAACCTGCAAAATCCTGGAAGAGAACAGAAAAAAACCTTTAGAGATCTTTTGGTCAACCCTAGGGATATGCAAAATCATTTAGCTGTCTACATTGTGAGTGCTAGAGGTTAATGGTTGCAGACCAATGGAATGTTAACACAGTCTAGTGCTACACTTGAGTAGTAATGTATGGAAAGACATTGAAATTAAAACACTTTGTTCTGGTGTTCTGAAGTGATGTAACATTGATGAAGTGGTTGTATTAGATGACAAAGCAGGGCTTCTCATGACTTTTAAAACAAAACTGTACCTAACATTCTTGCAAACGGTTTAACAGATCCTTCCAATTCTTGTACAGATGCATGAAGCTAACACATTTTTGACACTCCAGTTATCATCTAATGGCAGCATTTGGTATGATGGTTATTTTAACTTTCAAGATAAAATGCTGATTGCCTTGAGAGCAAAGACTTACCTGTCTTGTTTTCTCTGACCTCAATAATATAAACATTTATGTCAGGGCGGGATTTTGTCCCTGCTTGGGGTGGCGAAGTAGACAATGCCTGAGGTTTGGGGGTCGTTTTTCTTTCCACAGTGGATGGTCTTGTCCGCTGTGTTATAGGAGGCCTTGAGGTCATGTGATACTCTTCATCAATATCAGTTTCCGTTTCCTTAGCTATGATATCAGTGAGAGCTGGGGGAGGCTGCTCTGTTATAGACTCTCTAGGAAGTATAATGTCACTGGTCATATTCTCACTGGGCTCCTCCTCAACAACAGCTGGTTCTTTGGTGAAGGGTGAAGAGGGCCTGAATGGTGGAGTTCTGTGAAGGCTGTCTACGGACGTGAAGGCACTGATGTCACTTGGAACGACTGGAAATTCTGGGAGTTCCGTGGCTCTGGGTCTTTCAAATAATCCTGAGCCTAAATCTGTGTAGTCTAGGAATGGCTTCTTTCGTTCCTCTGTAGTTTCCTCCATAAGCTGTGTGACTTGAGTCCTGAAGGGTCTCAAAGTTGATGCAAATTCTGTTAAACTACTACCTTCTGCTTCATATGTTAATTCTGCCTCCGTACTTACAACTGCTTTTGGCCTAATGGTTGATGTTAGTGTTACCATTGTCTCCATTTCCACTTCGTGCTGCGTTTTTGTAGCAGGTGGATAAGATGTACCATGGACAATTGTTCCAATTGGAGTTGTTTCTAAAACTGGAACTTTCTCAAAACCTGTCACCCATTTGTCTTCAGAGATAGTATATGTTGATCCCTCCCCCTCTTCTTTAAATGCTGTGGTCTCATTGGTCATTAGTGCAGTAGAACTGAGAACAGGAAATGAGCTCCCTGTGGTTTGTGGTTTTTCCTGGGTTTCTCCCTGTATGATTCCTGTTGTCAAAGCTTCAGGAGACATGGTTGCTGCTAGGTGAGTCTGTTCAATGAGATCTTGATCAGATTTGCTTAGAACCTCATATTCCAGTGGAACAGAAGATTCCAACACACTCCATTCTGTCTTGGGGATTACAGAAAGAGGAGTAGTGTGGGGCATATCTACATACGTAGTGGACTCCTGGGTGCTACTATAATTAACAAATGCCAATCCTTCCACATCAGAGGTGTGTGCAAATGGGGGGACAGTAAATAGTGGTTTGGATGCATCTGTATCTTCGCCCAAAGCACTTCCTTCCACAGTTGCATTAGCGTCTTGGTCTTCTGTGCCTGTGGTGGGCAAAATGCCATCTTCGGTTGTAGACTCTCTCAAAGTTGACTTTTCTGAAATTCCAACTGATGTAGCTGACTGAGATGTAACTGTAAATTCTCCTGATGTTAAATCTTCCTCAGAAACCTTTTCTAATGGTTTTTGTGTACTATCTGGGGAAAAAGTATATTGGTCTCCTACATCTGGGAAACTTGGAGTTTCTTTATCCTTTCCATTTTTTCCTAGAGTGGTAAGTAAGACAGGGGACAATTTTGTAGAGCCAACAAATTCTGTTGAGGCTACGGGCTTTGAAGTTGAATTATCTTCATCCAATGACCATTTTGATACTGTGACCACTTCCATGTTGAAAGTACTGTCTGTCAAATGGGCTTTTGTCACATCTTTGTAATACTTTGTAACATCTGTTTCTAATCTACTCAGTGTTGCCATTTCTTCTACATCCCTTGCTTCTGTTGGCTTCACATTTGACTTCCCAGTGGTCAATGCGGGGGAAACAGAGTCTTCTACTGCAGACTCTGTAAAATGAATTTGTCCTGAGGAAGATGGAGAGAGCTTCATTCCAGAGAAGGCTTCCTCTGTTATACCTATAAATGGATCTTTGGTGATCTTTTCTTGTATCTCATCAACTGTGTAAATATCTTTTTTCAACTCTGGTCTTGGTGTTTCTGTTCTTTTTCTTTCTTGTGTTCCTTCTGTTTGTAATGAGGGATAAATAACTGTGGATATTCCCTCTACTGATATAATGTCACCAGAATAGGGAGACAATTCTACTTCTGTAAGATACTGTAATGGAAAGGGAGTTGTAGGCTGTGATTGAACAAAAGGATCTTCAGTCATTTTACCATTAGTTGTTTGTTCTTTCTCTTTATCTATGAGTGATCCATCTATGTCAAGCATAGTTATAGGCAAAACTATTGTTGATGTTGAAATGGACTCTAAGTCCCCTGGCTTGGAGAAGGTAGTGTCTTCTGATGTCTTTGATACTGTGATGACTTCAGGTATTTGGCTGAAGACCTGGGTGCTCTGACCAGATCTAACTGTCAGTGTTCTGTCTTCACTCTTCTCTTTTCTCAAGGTGAATCCATAGTGACTTGTGGTTGCCAATTCAGGACTGGTGCTTACAGTTGGCTTTTCAGGTTTGTGTTCAAGGGTCACTTTTGTGGGTTCCAGTGGTGTTTCAGTTGCTTGAAATTCCTTGGAAGAAATGTGCTTTGGGATTTCAGTGGATGTTACTAAAGGGCCCACTTCTATTTCTTCAATCTGTGTAACAGATTCATGTGTCTGCATATCCTCTGTGATTCCATCCCATGAGCCGGTAGCATGTTGGGAGATGACAGTTGTGCTTTGGAGTCCTTCCTCTTTAATTTCAGATATATCTGGCTTTCCAAGTGGTCCTGACCCAGAAGGTAGGTAGTCATCCACATCCCAGTGGTTCTCAGTACTCCCAGCAGGTGTGGGTGATTCAGTGTCTAATTTGTCTGTGAAAGCCTGAAACTGGACTACAGATTTCTGTTCAAAATTGACTATATTTCCTGCAGGAGGGAAGTGTGTGGTAATGATAGGTAACTCGGTGACTAATGGAATGATTGGTGTAGCTCTGTCAGGTACCATGTATGGTTCTTTGGATAAACTGGGTGATGCAGTTTCTGCGAGGATATTCATTTCGATGGTGGTTGCCTCTGATATATTCTGTTTAGCTAGAAAAATAATTTCAAAGAGTTAATTAGACAAGTCACTAATAAGGGGTTGCATGACCAGTGTTTAAGTGTTGCTCTGTATTTTTAAGTGGACCAAGTGATCTGAAATACAAAGGAGTCTAAATCCTAAACAAAGGAAGGTAATTGATCACCAGTCACAAACTAGTCAGTTGTTTTGTATTGTGCTATTATACTTGACTGTATAAACACTTGTTCTTCCACAAAAATGACATTATGTGTTTTCAGATAAGTAGATGCCAAAAAGTTACTAAAACGGAATTTTCATAAATGTTTATCTGTAATGAACTACAGTAGTGATATGAAACTAAGAAAGAGAACTTGGCTTTGTTATCTGGAGACGGATGTCCCCTGCTGCTAGTTTCCTCCAAATATTGCCTTCTTTTCAAGATGCAAAGTGTCTCAAGGGAGAGGGAGTGTTTCAGACTGCAAAACAACAAAAAGCCACATCAAATGGAACCAAGTTACACATAAACCATGACATTGTCCATAATATGTAGACTTTCCTAAAAACAGGATATTAAACTTTTAATACCCGCTCTTCATTTGGTCCCAGGTGTTGGACATTTGTCTTCATCTTCCTTTTAACTCTGGAGGCGTGTTGCCAGCAGATCATACAACATGTCTGGCAGAGGCTGGTCGGCATTTGCTGTAGTCCTACTATTTCCTGAACGATCTACATACTGTGTTTCTACTTATCCTAGGTCTTGGTTTCAGTCTTACTTTAACATAAAACATAAATGCATAGAAAATAAAGTAGCTATGCGATAGTTTTTAGCCTGTTACTACAAATTCCTGCATCATCCTTGATTATCACAGAGTGAGCAAAGGCTACATAAAGTAGCCTTGTCATTATAAAATGCTATGTTATAATGACTCAGAGTTTATGGAGAATGGTTTACCTAGGAAAATTTAAGCTGTATATAAAAGTGACAATGTTATAAGTAAAAGTCATTCTCAACATAGTTTAGCATACAAAGACTATTTAAAAAAATCAGTACTGTCTAAAATCAAAAATTAGTTGCCAGTGAATGCATAAGGAACAGTTGTGAGACACCCACATCCACCACCTTGTTACATTGCATATGATGTAAAATAGCTGGATGAGCAATGCTGGTCTTCTCTATTAGAAATTGTTGCATCAGTAGACTCTAAAAACTTGGTATCTTCCCCAAAAAGAATCACTGAAAAACAAAATTGGCTGCCTTTGGCTTCATCTGTTCTGTCAGAACTTCTGGTAAGATGATATGATTTTGTCCTAAATCGGAACAGGGCAATAATAAGTTCTAATGAGGGAGAGGGCTGGAATTTGTTATTAGCTGTTGATATTGTCCAAACCATTCAAAAAGTCCCCAAACATCAGTGTTCTAATGAAAATGTGATGTTCACTTACACTACAAGTCCTTTAAAAATCTATCACTGCCTATCCTACATTATTTAAAAAGAAATTAACCCAAAAGAATAGTGGAACCTTGAAAAGTGTGTTAAATGAACATTTTCTCCTCATGTTTTAAAAAAAAAAATAACAACCTGCTTCTGCATTTATTTCCTGGCACAAACTTTGGTCAATTTTGATTGACATGAACAGCTTAAAGACCTAAAATGTGTCTGACTACTTTTCTTTTAATTCAATTCTCTATCCCCTGAAATTCTATCACCGTTACCTCACTTAACTGCCAGATTTCATGTTTGTCTTATAACTGCATTCTTTAGGGAAACAGTAAAGAATAGGTATGGAAAATGTTCCCATGGAAACATAATACAAACTCTCAGACACCTTCATATTAGAGACAATTTAATCATATTATTGTTAATAACAGCAGAATGGTAATTTTACTTTTTCCCTCAGAGCATTTTTCATGGCCAATAAAATTAATTCAGAAGAAGGTGACATCACTCTGGAGCCAAGCGAAAGCCTGAGGATCAGGTCCTCCTATTCAACCTAGCAACTCTCTACATTATCCTATGGAAATATTTTTATAGAGTTTTAAAAATGGACTCCGATTTTTAACATGAAATAAGCACATGTCATTGTCAATTATGACTGGCTTTCTGTTGCTCTCCTCTAGCCTTGGTGCACAGTAAGGTGATAGCAGTGAGTCTCGGGTGCCCGTCTTACAAGGCCAGGGTTTATGTGACTTTGTTTTCAGGGGAAAAGGAGGGGTTTAATAATTTTAGAGCCCTGTTCAAGAAAGTCTGCTTACAATTAACTTAATTAATTCTATGACTTGGAATGGAAAACCTCAGACTTCCTTTTGGGGTTGGGTGGCTTTTCTCATCAACCTAACAGCTGACTGCCATCAGAACTCAGTGTATCTGATAATGTGTGCCATTTGCTTCAGCCATTCCAAAAAAGGAAACAACTTTTTAAAACACCATTTACAAAGAAATATGCTCAGAATAAAAATCATTGTATTACTTTACTGACAAATATTATAAAGAGGAGAATACAACTCTAGATTATTGTAAAAGGACCCCTCCCGTAGTTTCATTCAAATTGGACGCTTGCATTTCGGGAAAATACTATTGTTTTTCAATGCCATTATTGAGGAAGCCAACAAAAGCCAGCATACTTTTTTTCCCACAAATACTCCCTTCCAATCCTTGCAGCTGTCTGCCACACAGATGTTTTACATCAACATGCTTATGGTGTTTTACATCCTATGGGCTATCTTTCCTGTGCTTCTGTCATGAGACATAAGACAGATTTTCCTAATGAAAGTATAAACTCGTATCATCAGCATAATGGCCACTTTAACTCCTATACTATCTACATTTTGGAGAAACAACTGACTTTGAATCAACTTTTATTAATATGTGAAACATATGTGAGTGTAAATGGGAAGAAATGAGGAAAGTACTGAGTGTTCCACAGTATGACTTGAGGGTCACATCTCAGAAAGTGCTCACATTGACTCAGTAGGGTTTGAATTTTAACTGTCATTTCAAAGTTCTATAGGGGATTGGATGGTAATCAATTCACCTTCAATAGACAGGAGACATTTTGAAATACAAAGTAAGGAATTATTATCACATTTGGGACCTAATGGCATGTAATTGTTTAGGGCACAAAAAAAGTCAATGAAGTGATCATAGATTAGAAGAATAGCCTAATTATAAATATGAACCAATATATACAATAGTATATAAAGTGTTGGGAAGCAATTGAGCCTGCTCTAGAATCTAGTTCCAAAATTAATGAGAGAAGGGAGAATGGAGAAACAAATTGGTTCAAAACCAGATCAAATGGTAACTAGAAATTTAGACATTAAAACCATCATCAGTGGAATTGTTCCAAGTGGAGGAGATACAGAGAGACAACCAAGGAACTATGGTCAATAGAAATGATGCTATTTGAATTTGATCAACAACTTTTTAAAAGAATAGTTCAAATTATGATATTCAAACTTTGATTAAAAACAAACTATCTAAGAAAATGAGCTAAAGAATATTAGAATGAATTTTTTAGGAAACATGTCATTTCCCCTCTCCTGGAGATACTTAGTGACACGTATTACGAAAATTTCAAAAGTCTTCAATGACTTTGATTCATTTAAATTTGAAAGTATTTCACATGGACTTTCAAAGCCCTGAGCTTCTGAATTCTTTCACTGAACATTTTCAGTCCTGAAGCCAAAATAATTAACAAGTAGACAGTTTTCATCACATGAAAATAGTCAGGAAACTTATTTTTAAAGGGCATTTAGTTGCCTGTTTTTAAATCTATTTGACCAGATAATTCCTATCTGTGCACATTATCTGATATTGTATGTGTACTATTAACTGGCTCTATAGGAAGAAGGCATTAGAACAAAATAAGATTTAGAATGTTTATTCACTACATGGCCTAAAAGCCCACTTTCTAGGTTTGACAAAACCAAATGATTTACAACATGCATGCATCTCTTGTTCAACTTATGACTGAACACCACAGACACCACTTGAGGGACTGCAGCTGAGGACATTCTTAGTTACCACTGGGTTACATGGGAAAAGGGAACATCAGTCAAATCACCTGGAAATAATTTCAAATCTTTATGTATACACATACTAAAAGATGCATTGCCAAGTATACTAGAAGTAGTTGGCACTGTGACATTCTAACCTCTTCTGTGCTGAATGACCTAGGAATGATGGTCTTAAGGACAGAAGAATTAAACAAGAACCTAGACTTCAGGTTACATAGGGGAAATATGTATGTATTTTATACCAAATTCTATACATTAGCATGAGCAGAAAATGATAAGTATCAACCACTTTTGTATGTAATATAAATTAAATTTAATGTGGTCAATCTATTTAAATCCTAGGAACTTGCTTTTTACGCACCCATGTAAATTCATTTAGATAAACCATGTAAAATCTGCCAGGAATAATTCTTTAATAATACTCTCTCTATGACTACAGGCAAGCTTGGGTTTCCATTTTACCCTCAAGGAGAAAATATGTTACATTTTTTTCCTGGTGTTAATTTTATACAGTGATGGAAAAATTAGTTAAGGGAGATACTCAGTCACTCGATTCACCCCTTATAACTTTTCCAGTCCATCCCTTCTAACCATTAACCCAAGCCTGTTCTTTCATCATGTTGGTAACCTAATGTAAAAGTAATTTTATAACCTGATTTACATAAACTTTATTAAGGACAAAATTTGGCATAAACAAATATGCATGTCATATATGTATACATATATGACTCTATTTAGGATTAGATTTTTCATTATTATTGTTATTTTTCTGAAAAGGTTTATGGAACACTTTGTTGTTTCAAGGCCCAAGAAGAAAAGCTAGCATTTGCTAGGCCTTTTAGGATCAACAGCTTGAATTAAGCTAACACACAGCATATCGCTATAACACCCAGAAAAGCATGTCTAAAGCGGAGATACAGGCAGAGGCAACCTAGCAGGGAGACAGAAGTCTATGAAATGAAACCCTTCGTGCTTCTATCAGCTCACAGATCCACTCTCTTTTCCAATACACTGCTTAGGTTCATAGCTCAGTCTTTTTCTCACTGAAAAATGCCTGTATATATTTCACTCTAAAAACAAATTAATAACAAGCCAGTATATTTTCTAGTTATTTTAGTTACCTATTGTTTAACAAAAAGAATTAGAAAGCTAATTCACAACTCTCCTGTGGTATATTGATATTTAATTATTATATTAGTCAATGTCAGACTTACACAAGGTCATTAAAATATCTAAGTAGTTGTCATTTAGCTAAGATAATACAGACCCTAGAGTAAATATTACCATAAAAATTTTGACTAGTTATTCTTTAGCTAAGTGCTCTATAATTATAATACTATGTAATGTGATTGATGTTTAAAAATAATTTAAGTATGTCTGAAAATTTAAAATATGTATAGCACAAGTGCTATTTAAAATTAATATTATAAGGTAAACCTATCTGAATATAGCTAAATTATGCTACATATTGCAAAGAGGCTACTTTAATTAAATCAAAGAAAAATTACCCAAAAGGCACATATTCTATTACTTGAAACAAAATGAAATATGTGAATTATTTTAATTATTTGATGGTTCATTTTTAGGTAGAAAAAGAACATAATCATTATCAGTTTCAGCACCAATACTCACCTGCAGTGACTTAAATTTAAATTTAAACTTCTGCTTGAAGACAACTTAAACAGGATTCAAATGCTTTGCTCAAATGCTATTGGCTTAACATTGTCATACCAACAATGAAACTGCATTTAAAGCCTCGATTAATAGGAAATGACAATTCAGGAATTGGTCTATGATTCTTGGTATAATAGCGAGCACCTAAGACTCTAATCTGACATTCCCATCTCCTCAAAAACACAAACAAACAAAAACCTACTCGCTAAACTTGCTTTAACCATTATGCTGGTATTAAGCCTGTTGCACCTAAGTCACTGAATTCTTTCTGTTCCATGCACATTGCACAGGATACAGAGTCCATCTCAACAACTACTTGACCCTCAGTGAATCTCGTTGCTGCAGCTTTTTAAATCCCTATATTTTTAGAAAGATATCAAACACTTACGTTTAAAGCAGTAGGCATCAAATCTGCTATCAGGGGTAGGGAAGCATGTCTGGTTCTCAAAACGATACAGGGTTCTCACCCCAAGTAGACCACCTCCACACTGGGCCCTGGCCACAGTCACAGGGTGCCGCACACTGGCATCCGACAGCCACCCGTAATCACATTGGTCAAAGCCATTCCTCCAAGCTGCATGAAGTTCCCCAACCGTCGCCAGCCTGGCATCCTGGTTTTCACACTCTTCTTCTGCCTCCTCAAAGGTGAACTTATTTGGGGCAGTGATGTGAAACACATCGCCTGGAATAAGAGGAGGAAGAAAAAGAGCGTTAGGTTTACTATTCATTCTTTGCCTGTTTTGATAAATGTGGAGAGGATATGTGATACAGTAAGGAGGCAGCTTCTCATGTGATAAAGCAAAGAACAACATGATTACTTCAATAAAAGTATTATTACTATATAATAAAAAGAATACATCACACAAGTTTAATATATATGTGTTTGTGTATGTATGTATGTGAATGTGTGTGTGTGTGTGTGTGTGTGTGTGTGTGTGGGGAAAAATAGCCAAAATATACATATCAGATTTTCTAAAAGTTGGTGGAGCATTCATTTGCTAATAACATTTGATAAATCATCTTTTAAAAAATAAATCTTTGCAAGTGATTCTTTGACATCCTGTCCAGGAAATGCTAAAATCAAACAGTAGTTCTCTGACATCCTCTTCCCTCATATTACTACTGCCCAAACAGATTAATTTTCTTGATCAAACTACTAGTTAAGAAAGTCCTTAGGAATCTGACTTGGAGAAGAAGAGAAACAGTAGAAACTAAAGGAGTCTTCATTCCAGCTTGAATCCCTGGCTCAGGGTTGCTGTGACAGGTCTGTAGGTCACAGTTACATAGCAGCAGAAGGCTAAGAATGTCTGAGGGCTGACATCAACTCCCACTGGACAGCATAAGGAACCCTAGCTTCTATGGGGGAAACCTCCCTCCTTATTTATTTCCTACTTGTTCTACCCAGAGAAAACTACACATGCTCTAATTTTCACAAAATCACCAGAAACGTCAGCAGGGGTTCTAGGCAAATCAAGAGACTATTATACCTGCTGATCGAATTATCAAGCAAATCCTGAACGCTTATTGTGGTTATCACTAGATCCAATTAGCAGAGATGAGTGCTCATTTTTGTGAACATATTATGATAAAATTCTGGAAAACTCTGATGGGGGAAGTCCTTCTGTGTATATGTTTGTCTATTGGTTGATACATAAAGCACTGTTGGCCAATAGAGAAGCAAGATAGATGGGGCTAGGAGTCAAGGAGGATTCTGGGAAATGTAGTAAAGGAAAAAGTCACCATGTGATCCCGGCAAGAGAGGATGAATGCCACTGGCGTCCTCAGTAAGATAAGTCTTTATAAAATATATAGATTAATGGTTATGGTTGATACTTAGGACAGAGCTAGCAAATGAGAAATCCTAGTCATTGGCCAGCAGCATTATAACTAACATAAGACTCTGTGTGTTATTTGGGGGTCCTAATGTGGTGGCAGGGTTTGGGACGCTGGCAGGGCTTGGGCAGCTGGTGGAAACCGTTATCATTACAAAACTCAGTTGGTTGATGTTTTTAAGATATGAGGACAAATGGCTGAAAGTCAGAGGAAACATTGAAGAACACCAAAATAAATATAACTTGAACAGGAAGGAGAACAAATGAGATGGAGAGGATGCTAAAATTCTGATAGGTCAGTATTCCAGAATCCAAGGTCCTCTTTCTATAACTCAGAGGTGATCTCTAACTCTGTGATATATGAGACAGTAAGAACGAGTTCTTAGGATGTCAATCTATGATCTACCATAGACACTAGCCAGATGGAATAAGTAACTGCTTAAAATGAATAGTGCTATTAGTCTAAGTATGTGATAGTTTTATGAGAAAAAGAAAATTAGTCATAGGGGAAAAATAGCCAAAATATACATATCAGATTTTCTTACTAATGGTGGAGCATTCATTTGCTAATAACATTTGATAAATCATCTTTTAAAAAATAGCCTAAAATTCATACTGGGGAAAATAAACCAAATCCCCACTAAGAGATGTTAGCTAAAGAGAAAGAAAATTATTTTTGTCATGGGGTTAAGAATAGGTTTACGTATTATATCACCAAGACTGTCAAACAGCAACAACACAATAATCTCAAAGCCAAAAATGCACAGGAAGCACACCTTCCCCCTCCCTACTCCTGCAATATCCAGCCTTGCCCCCGACTCTACCAGTTACACAGTGTGTATTTAGTAATATATGTTCAATAAATGGCATTTCTAGTTCTTGTTAGAAATCATGTTTTTTTTTTTTCTTTTTTAACTCTGGTGCTACCTGGAACTGAATTTCATCGATAAACTTGGCACAAAGCAACTTGGAAGTTATCAGCCTGAGCAGCTTCCCTTTGCTCAGCATCACACCTGGCTTAGGCCTCAGATGGATGCACATTTAGGGAGGGAACATGTCCATATCTGTCCATTAAAGGCAGAACACATGGGTTTGTTGTCACGGCTGACCTCACTCTGGACATCTTAGCATCCTGTATTGTTACACACTCTGCTCTGAAGCCAAACTGCTCTTCCCTGAGACTACCAAAAGTGACCTGCCAGCCAGCTTGAGGCAAAGAATATTACTCATTAAGGAAAACTCCACTTCTAGAGACAAAACCAGAGAAATAGCTAATAAGGAGTAATGACCCCCAGGATAGCTGGATCCCAAAGGGCAAAAATGACCGAATATTAAAATGAATTAAGGTTTAGTTGTTGCCAAAATGGTTATAAAGGGAAATGACATTTTTATTCACCAGTGAGAAGCTACTTACTTAACTTTCCATGTAAGAATTATCAAATCTAACCTCATATCAATGATTTAACTAATTTGAAGGATACAACTTCCCTTCATATCTGTAATATCCACAGAAGAGTGATTATAACTAACTGAACTTCTGTGATCCCAAGGCGGATTCATTTCTACTCCATTTATCTGTAAGAAGTTTTCTAACCTCACAAAAGTTTCATTTCACTAACTTTATATTTTGTATTTATTTTGATTTTATTTACAGGTATGGATATGTGTCTCTCTGTGTGTATGTTCATGTGCATGCCAGTTCCCTCAGACCCTAGAAGATGACAGAGTCCCTGATACTGGAGGTAAAAGTTGTTCTGAGCAAGGCAATGTGAGTTCTGGGAACCAAATGTGATTGTCTGTAAGAAGAGCAAGTGCTATTCCATCTCTCCAGCCCCAATATTTTAAAAAACATACATTGAAAAAAGTCATCATGCATTTCTTGACACTTAGATGAAAATTAAATATTTAAAAAGGTTATTTGAGATTATTTTAAGGCAAGGATAAGATAAAATGTAGTCACTCATCCTCTGTGGCTTAATAGTTATTTTGGAATAATAAGAAAAAGGAAAGAAAATATATTAACTTTAACTTTGCTCCAAAATTAATGACTTAAGCATAAACATTATCTTTGCTCATCTCAAAGCCCTGATGATAAAACAAAGGCTATATCAAATGACTATATTAATGTCCTTTAGTTTCTTGCAATTGCAATTAATGCACAATCCATAGCAAACTACACTGCCTACACATGTAAAGCTGCAATTTCACTGAACAAGTGAATCAAGTTACCGGACAGAACAAAAGTAGAAGAGAAAAAAATCCAAGCATGTAACCAGTTGTCTCCCATGGTTGTATCAAAATAGCAAATGAAGCAGAAGGTAAACCAGAATAGGGTTCTTTGGTCATGGGTCTAAGTCAGCAATTTAAAACAAACTAAGGAGGTCTTCTCTTTAATACAATAGGGGCATATCTTTCAGCAAATAAGGAAAATGCATTCATGTTTGTATCCCAGCACCATCTTTGGAGTTTAGGAGACAGGTCCAGAGCCTTCTGGGAGGAAATTGAATTTTTACTAGCTCTATTACTTCTCATACACACATGTAACTGAGCAATCAGTATAACCTTAGATTTAGCAGACAGTTGTCTCCTAGGAGGAGAATGACTTTTTATATTTGGACAAAAATCCACTATAAAGTTCTAGGGATGGCTTCACCAAAACAGCTTATGTGAATTTTTAAAGGTTTATACATACACATTCATAAAACATAATGAAGGATAGAGGATTTTACACACAAGGTAATTTGGGTATTCAGATAGAAGACACCTAAACAGTATCCTATGTCGTATTGTCACACATTTTCAAGCTAATTGCTTCACATTTTATCCTACTCTTCTTTTGATTGCCTCTTCAGGGCTGGTCAAAAACAGTGGTTCTCAATATGTGGGTCACAACCTCTTGGGGGTCAAATGCCCCTTTCACATGGGTTTCATATCAGATATGCTGCATATCAGATTTTTACTTTATTATTCATAGCAGCAGCAAAATTACAGTTAGCAAATAGCAATGGAAATAATTTTGTGGTTGGTGGTCACCACAACAAAAAGAACTGTATTAAGAGGTCACAGCATTAGGAAACTTGAGAACCACTGGTCTAGAAAGAACTAGAAGGCATTTTATTTAGATTTTAATATTCTGCTGACATTACACAAACTAGAACTTTCTTAATCATGGGACTTAACATCATCAGGAATATTGAGGAAACTTATTTGTTTGACCAGTAGTGACGGCAAGACTCCCAGAAAGCAGAGAAGGCCTGTACTTTTTCCACACTTCTGAGTGCCGGATGGAAAAGACACTTCTTGGCAGACTAAAAGGTGACACATACTGAAAGAGCAAGCAATGGTGAAACAAATTAAAGCATGAAAAATGATCCCTGGTGTTCAAACATTAACACTTCTTCCCAGGAGACACAGCAGAACTGTTAAAAGTCCAGAGCAATCCCAGGATACTAAGTAAAGCTGTTGACTTCTCTCAGTGCTCAAAGCTAGGGCCTAACCATGGCCTCTGAATCAGGGAATTTGCTGAGTGGCATCAAAAATCCTGTTTCTTTTTTTTTCACATGTGTTCATTGGTCCTGTTCTACTATGTGTTGTGACTATCAGTTCAGTATGCTGGCAAAATCCATGCTCCCATTTTTAGTTTCACCATGAAACGTGTGTGTGTGTGTGTGTGTGTGTGTGTGTGTGTGTGTGTGTGTGTGTACATGGACGATATATATCATTGCTATTTGGGTAAAACTTACATGTGAGAACCTTATCATTAGCTGAAATGGTTCAATTGGAAGTAACCAGAAAAGATGAACATCTAAGTACCCATGAGTCAAAACCACTTGCCAAATAAGCCAGAACA